GTGAGTATGTACCAATTACCTAATATAATATAGGGTTTTAGTTTTAAAAGATAATATTCAATATTCTGTTGCTCTTGCCACTCATTTCAATTTTCCAAAACAACTTTTTTTCCATATAGCTGTAGAATTTTTCTAGTGAACACCACAAACAATATTAAATACAGAGAATGCTATGTTTCTGAAGTGATCATTTAAATTAAATTTTCACTTTTAGAGCAGTCAGCTAATAAGCAATTACAGAATATGCTTTCTGCTTATACATGCTAAAAACTTTATTTCCTTGTTATTTTAAAATGTGTTAAGAAATAATATTAAGTGCTCATTTAAAAGAACACAGCACTGAAATTGATGTTAAATGAAAGAAACACCTAGTATTAGACATTAGGCTTTAATGATAATTTAAAAAAAACAAACACTTTTTTATTATGTTATTCATTAGAGAATTATAGCATTTTGCATAGAAGTAGAACTGTTGCCAATTTCAGTTCTTGTATTAAAAAAATACTCTAGTCAGGATATTCAGCGAATTACATAATTTGCCATGTCCTTATTAATGAAAAGTTTGAATGACTGAATATATTATGCAAAAGTATAAGCCCACATATCTCTTATCCACTTATTCATTCACATAAATATTATGTGTTTTATTATTTGACCAAAAATTCAGGAGGTATATTTTCTAAGTAATGTGCTACAGTTTAATTTCATTCCAAATAGGGTTGTATGAGCATTTAAAGTCTAATTCATTATATTAAAACTCATTACTCTCTCTCTCTAGGTTATATGTTTAATTGCTGTACTGGATTGTTATGGGTGATTTGTTAAAATCATACAAACATACGTATCTTAACTTACAAATGGAAACTGAAATGGAAAACTTTTGACTTCTTAAAATCTTTGATATTTTAGTTGTATTATTATATGTGTAGGAATAATTCAGCAACACCACTTTAAGTAAGCCTTTAGTTCAACCTTTGTCTTTCTAGTCTAAACATTTTTATATTTCACCAAAGTTTATCTGGACTTTTTCAAAATGATCTATGTCAAGGAATCAGGCTAAGTGATAAAAACAGGAAGAGAAAGTCTGCACCAGTGAATATTTATATTGGCAAGAGCTGACAATTTTATAAAAGAAAAAACAAACACAGAGGCTGTTCATTTCTGAAATGAAATCAGCTTCACTCCATTTGTTTCAGGAAAACATCATTGCATGAAATGATATAAATCAGTATTGATATCCCTAAGCTTCAAACCAAAAGAGACAAATGCACTCTAAACCACAGTATTTCAACGGATCTGAGTCAACTTTACTGTTGTCTAGTTTCTGCTAATCATCATAAAAATTCCCAGTGAAATAATTATCCCTAAAACAATCAAGACGGTGTATCTCTGTAAAGGAGAAGATCGATTTAACAACAAACACTAGATTTATCTGTATTGATTAAAGGGCATTCAGTGTAATTTTAGTGAATTATGTCTGGCTTTCATTTCCCAGTAGAAATTTTTCTTGTGATGATCAAAAGGCAGATTGCAAACTACTACATGATCTTTTGTGTGCTACCTACATAATATCTAACTAATTACCTTTCAAAGTAACATTGATGTGAGAATGAACAAAATACTATTTCTTCTTTATAAATGGTATCTCTTACTACACATTCATATGACTGAGTTTATAGCACTTACCTAAGAGCCTCATGCCATCTTCTCAATTCATTAATACAGAAATCAGGACTGTACTAAGAGTCAGTGTTAAAGGAACAAATCCAAGATCATCTTATGAGAATAGAATTAGAAAGATTAAGAAAGTAATATGATTTTTCTTCTTAAATAGGAGTAATTTCAAAGGAAATGTTAACACTTTCATGTCTGAATTTTTATTAATAGTGAAAGGGAGAATTAAGGAAATTAGGCAGGTTTAAAGACAACTTATTGGTGCTGTATGCCTGACACCATTGTTGGGACAATTTAACTGAGAACTAATTGGAGCTAAAAAGGCTTTTTATTTTGTCAACTCAACGTATATGTCAATGTCTACTCATGCATTTATAATCTGATATAATGATGAGAAAGAGTCCAACTTACTTTGTTTACTTAATAACATTAGGCCAGAAAAGATCACCTCCTCATTTCAGTTCTTCAATGCATTGCTAACATAAACTGTCTAATTACACAACTAAATGTTTTAATAAAGTAACCAATTAGAATGTTTACTGATTCTAAATATTCACTGTTAGATACATTTCCATAGGCATCCTTTGAATTAATTTAATTAATAATTCAACCTTCTACAATCACTGGAAAGAAAAAGACAAAATATGTGACAAAAAGTTGTTTTTTAAAAGTCTGAAGCACAATTAAATACTTAGCGGTAGTGTATTCATTGCTGTCTGTGTTAAAGATGCATACATGAAAATATTTCCATGGAAAAGTAAGAAGCTTTCTCACATTCTCTAGGAATACATAATTTTGCACATTTAAATAATCTTCTTGCTGAATCAGGCAGATCATAATGCATGTTTAAGACTCATATGATAAAGGAGATATGTCTTAGCATTTTAATATTTTGACTCACAAATTCAGATTAATTCATTTGCCTTCAAAGCAGATTTATTGGCTGTGATCTGTACTTAATATAAATAATCCAAAGGCATCTCTGATTTATTATTGTTATCTTAATGATGAGTCATTAATTACCATCCAAAAATCATCAACCCAAAGAGCAGAAGCATTTTGTACAGTGACACAGGGTGACAATGATATTGATAACTACTATGTTAAATACAAACTAATTTCAGAAAAGCTTAACAGACGTAAATGAGAATGTTCCCTGCCTTGTCTAGGAGGAAAACTGCTAATATTGTAAAACAAAATAAAAACCTTGTTTTTTAATTATTAAATGATTGCATAGAGTGACCGTGCTTAAAAACTTGCCAATTACCTTAAAAAAATAATGTTACTTCAGTAGTTGCAGTGTTCCCTAGGAATTCCTCATTACTAATTAGAATAAAGTATAGGAACTACCTCATCTATTGAGATAAAGTTATTTAGTCATTCAAAATAAAATTAGATCCATATTAAGTGCCACCACAATGATGCATACCCATAAGATATCACAACACAAATTTGAGAATGCAAAAAGAAGGGGCTGAAAATCTTGATGTTAAATTGCTATGCAAGTGTCCAACATGACTACATAAATGTAACAATAGTTCTATATTAATTATAGCCCAGTCCTGCTCCCATTCAATATAATGGGAGTTTTACCATTTATTTAAATGGATGTAGAATCAGACCCTTTCTGTTTGTGTTCATTTAATTGCTGTCCTAAAAACTATAGTTTTATTCCATGCCCATAAAATGCATGATTTTTTTCCTTACAGTAGTTGTAGCAAAAATATATATATATTTGATGTCTGAAAATAGTTTAAAAGGGATAAATGTAACTTTTCAAAACAAATGATGCAAATAATTACCACTTGCTAAAAAGTAAATAAACATAACAGTCTTTTAGATTACCTTAACACATACTGAGTGCATGTTGTATTGTCTTTCCCAATGTATTTAAAAGTCCAATATATGATAAAGTTATCTTATTATAATTAGACTACTAAAACGCAATAATTAAAAATCTCTTACATTTTTCTGAGAACTGAAATTATTAAAATATCCAAGAAGAATCAAAGCTTTTTTTTTCAAAAAAGATAATTCTTTGAACTGAATTTTAATAAACCAATAACAATGTTATTGTTCAACAGGCAATAATAGTCTTCATATAAACTGAAAAATATTGTTTGGGGTGATTAATATACAATGCTACATTATGCATTTGGGAGTGTCTGTGCATAATTTTTAGTTCTAATGTTATTATGTAATTGAGAGAACATGTTCATTTGCTCTAATAACTACCAAGATGCACTTAATAAAATGAAATGTAATAATACTTGTAATTTAATCTATTCATGGAAGTAATTTTAAAAGTCTACCACTCTCCTTAATGTGGATAACATTCATAATTTATAAAGTGTTGTGATGCAGAATTGACAATGCCATTGTTTTTTACACTTTGAGTTGATTCTGCAGCCTTCATTATCTGCATACCAACCTCAGGATTATCAAGGGCAAACAAAAGATAATTAACACCAGAAACAGGCAAATGCAGGAGCTACTGACTGAGGTTTCTCATTTAATGCAATACCTCTGAAAACTGTAAAACTGAATAACTATTTAAAATCATTTTTAACTGCAGAAAACTATTTTTATATATATTTTCTTTGCTAGATTTAAAATAATAATTTGGCTATAAAGGCTATTTATCCTATGACTAATTGACCTACCCACCCTTAGATACAGTCATTATATGTATTCAACATAAAAAGTACTTTTCAAAATTATTAACCTTAATTTTCTCCACTGGACTTTTATCTAGAGCAGACCGGTAGTCAAGACACCCATGTTCTATTTCTACTGTGTCTTTGATTCACTGAGTGACTTTAGACAAGTCACTTAACTTCTCTCTGCATCATTTTACAATTCTGTAAAATAGGCCTGATAATATCTAGCTATCTCTCAGCGATCTCTGTGAGCTAGGCACAAGCAATTAATGTATTGTAAATTGTGCTAAGATTCTTGGATGAAAGACCTGATAGAAGTGGCTATGTTATTTTCATATGTACTCATGACAGACAAACAAGAAGTTACTGAGTTATGATACACATCCAGTTCAGTATTCCTTGTATGAGAAGAGTCAGTTGGAGATTTTCCTTGTGCAAGAAATATTGAAGTAGATCCTATACAGGGTTACCAGACATCCCGATATTAGGGGCTTATATATGCAACTATAGTGCCCCCACTGAAAAAAGTCCCCAATTTTTTTACACTTGCTCTCTGGTCACCCTAATCCGATGTTAGATTCTAAAATGTCTGCTGTATAGCTAATGAGTAAATATAATCCCATGGGGGGGGGGGTGTCTTTTCCGAATCAAAGGCAAGGAAGGCAT